GAAATCTTTCTAAGTCCTACATATTTCACCTTCAACTTATAAAGGGACCCAACAGTCGAAGGCTACCTATCAATCGAGGGCTACAATACACAAGGAATCAACACTGAAGAGAATTTTCTAAGTCCTAAAGAATTGGCCCCCGGCCTAATCAATATTTCAGTTGGGGCTCCACAGTAGCCGAAGGCTACATGACATGCTACACTTGCAAAGATTTTCTAAGTCCTGAACATTGGGCCCTTGGTCCAATATTCACACATCAGAGGGTGCCCAACTACCGAAGGCTTCCAAGGACAAGCTACAATCAGAAAATACTCTAAGTCCTACAACATACATTCAAGAAGTAGAAGGCATACATTCAAAACATAAGGCGCATTCAAATGTAAAGAGCCCGGGGGCAGCATGCATTCATCAAAAACAAATTGAGTGTGAAATTTACAAACAGGCCGAAGCCGAAGGATCAATGTTGTTCATTACAAAATATGTTCAAGGATTTCTAAGTACAAAATCACTCTACAACTACAACAACGTCATTCACCGGGGTGCCCTCTGCAGCCGGCCTCGACGATGCCTCCGCTCCGGCCTCAACAGCGTCGTCCTCGGCCTCATTCTTCAGCTCCGTGTCCTCAAGGTCGGGCCTCTGTACACCTTCCGGGAGCGATTCACGGACATCAGGCTGCAGGGGAGGAAGGCCATACGACGAGGGGGAAAATCCTTTTGCTCAATGCCCAAGTGCCGAGCCATCCTCCGGTAGATGAGGGCCTGGGTGAAGAATTCGCCGGCCTCATAATATTCTCTGCCCTTCCGGGCCATCCATTCCCACCCAGGGCCCTCGGCCCATTCCTCGACGTATGCCTCCACGACCGAGGACAGCCACATCTTGCGTCCCTCGGCTCTCCAGCCCTCGGCGACGAAGGCATCAACGGCCTCCTCCTGAGCCTTTGCGACGGCTAGCGCCTTGGAGTCCTCGGCCTCTTTGGCAGCTCTCCTGGCCTCCTCGGCAGCGGCCTCAGCATCAGCCTTGCTCTTCTCTGCAGCCTCCAATCTTAGCTCCATTTGCCGAAGCTCCTCTTCTAGCCTGGCCCCCAGCTTCACCGCCTCTTTATTTTTGAGGATGCACTCCTTCATCTTGGCGTCCTGCTCTGCTTTATGGAGGCGCCATTCTTGAAGCCTCCGGGCATGTTCACCGAGGGCTAGACAAGCCTGCAGACCAACAACCGAAACGGTTAAAGGCAATTGCACAGTATGATCAAAGGAGAAAAGGAAGAAAGCCGAGTAAAACACTTACAGAGAGGGAGGAGCGGAGAATGTGGTCCTCGAGGGCCGCATTGTTATAGGCCCCGAGGGCAGCCCTATCAGTCTCAGGGGTTATGCCCCTCAAAATGGCCCCCGGGTCAACAGCGCCGCTGGCCAGGGAGGTCCCCCTCGGGAACGAAACTTGGAGGACCTCAGGCTGCAACTCCTCTGCCCCCGCCGGCGTTTCACCCGACGGCTTCTCCACATGCACCCCGGAGGCGGGGTGCTCATCAGCAATAATAACCGGGGGCTCCTTCTCGGCGATATCCCCCTTCTTCGGCTTTTTTGTAGCCGGGGGGGACCCCTTGGTCGCCGCCTTCCTCTTGCCGGCAGCAGCATCGCCCTCGACTTTCTTGAAGAGGGCAGTGGCGGGCTTCTGGCTGCCCTGTCCCGACCCCTTCGGGTCCTGTTTCTTCAGGCGAGCGAGGCCCTTCACGTTCACCATGGAGACGGGGATACCTGCAAAAAATATGACAAAGGGTTAGGCCGACGGGTCTAAGCGAAGGGACAATGACATCCAAGCAAAAAAAAACTAAGTACAAAAATCTAAAGCCCTCGGCTCCTACCTCCGGCTCCTCCGAAGGCCTTGTCGAAGGGAGGGTACTTCTCATCGGTCTCCCCTATGAAGCGGTACCTCCGGAACCCGAGGGTGTATAAATCCTCCTCGAGGGTGCAATCTTTGATCGCCACGTTCTTATTTTTCCCCTCCGGGAACTTGGCCAGCTTTAGGCCGTCTTTCTCGAGGGCAGCACTCCTGATCTTTTCGTGCCTTCGGAATCGATCGCGCAGCTCCCTCGGGAATGAGTTCTCGCCCAACCTTACATAGCACCAACGTTCCCTCCATCCTTTGTTGGAAGAAGGAGCATCGGAGAATAGCTTGAAGCGGGCAATCTGCAGCAGGTTTGCGTATCCCTCGCCGTTTTCGTGCCCCCCCGGCACAAGTTAAAACTCTGGAAGAATAGGTCCAAGCTGGGCTTCACCCCTCGGGACTTGCAGAGCTGGAGGAACCCCGCAATATAGGAGTGGCTGTTGGGCGTAAGTTGGCAGGGGACCAAACCAACAAACCTCAAATACTCCCGGAGGAACGGGTGCAGAGGGAACCTAAGTCCCATAGAAACCGAGAGGACGTGAATGGCGATACACCCCTCGGGCGCCCTAGACAACACGTCGTCGGGACCTGGCTCCACCACTTCGGCCGAGGGCCCCACGTGCAGCTGAGTCACGTACAGATCTGCCCTATTAGCCTTCGACCTAATCTCGACGGCCTCAGTGTTCAGCCAACTGTACCCCTCGGGCATGTCCACGGGCTTTCCTTGATCGACGGCCCTCTCCTTCTTCTTGGTAGCGGCCTTCTTCTTCTTCAAACCGGAAACCACCCTCAGAGGTATCAGATCTAGCGGCCTCGAGCTACTGGCCTCCCCAGAACCCCGAGGGGGGAGAACAGCAATCGTAACCTTCGAGCTCTCATTCTGCGCCTCATCCTCCGCTGTTTGCCATGCGAGGGCTAAGTCTTCATCCTCGCACTCCTGCTCGAAGCCCTCGGCTTCGACCTCAGCAATGAGTTCCTTCTGGACCTCCCGGGCCAGGGCGGCATCAGCACCGTCCAAGGGCTCGCTCACGGACTCCACATCTGAAGCGTGCTCCTCATCAACCGAAGGGTCCCCCGATATGTTTTGGGAATCGCTCTCGGACGACATTCCTTGCCACGAAAAGCACCTAAGGTTTCGAAAGATTTCTACGGGACCCTAACCCTAATCTAAGGCCAGAGGGCGGAACTTACAAAAAGTGCTGAGGGGAAAGCGGGACACTGACCTTGAAAAGAGTTTGACCGAAGGCTTGAGTTTCTCTCTCTAGAATTTTTTGCAGAGCTTCGCTAGGAATGTTGGACGCGTAAAGGAGGAATGGCCCTGGCTTGGGGTATTTATAGGCTCCCAGATCCGGGCTTGGGCCGAGATCCGGGCTCCCAGCCGTCAAAGCCATCATTACGCACCGTCGTTTCACCCAACCGGTGACGCCCGCCCGCGAGCAGCCAATGGCTACATGACACGTGTACCCCCCCCCCCCAACGGCTATAAACCTGACGTTAGGTATTCCAACGGTTATATTCCCAACGGCTATATTCTGGAAGCCCCCGGGTTTTCTACTTCACTCCACTTCATCAAGGATAGCCTCCGGGTACACTCACTCAGAAGTGCCCCCGGGTTGTGCCCCACACAGCACATAACAGACGCCTTCGGGATCACTGCTTCAGAAACCCAGGGCCTCATATCAGGGCACCCCTCGGGGATTCCCCCTCAGCACTGCAAAACCGGGTAGCCCCCGGGGAGTTGCCTCATTGACAGATGACCCATGGCCCACGGGTAATGGGAGCCCTCGGGTATCTTCATCACCAACTAATCAACAAACAGTGGACCCCCCGGTAACAACTCCATTGCCGCCCTCATCCAGCGGGCCCTCGATCCCCGAATTGAGGGGCTCCCCTTCGGCGCCACCAGGACATCAACAGCAAGCCTTCGGCTAATCAACACAGGAGCCCTCAGAAGAGAGAGCCTTCGGCATTCCCGTCATTCTCCATTTTTCACCAAGGTTTGACATTTTCGATTCATCATTGGGGGAATTCGGTGCACTCTTTTTCCCTCATTAGGATTTTTTCCCAAAGGGTTTTTCCTAATGAGGTTTTTAACGAGGCATCCCCCCAAAATGAAACGAAAAACGTCAGCCTTCGGCCCACAACAGCAACACAACTACTCTACTCCTTTTCACCACTTTACAAGTGCCTCAAGGAGTGGGGGACTGGAGGACCCCCTCGGGAAAATCATTAAATTACAAAATTAGTGAAATTCCAACAAACGACAAGGCAAGCCTTCAAGTCCCGACATGTGGATAACTGAGGGACTGCCTTCGGCAGGGACATAAAAGCGACAACTCCTCACCAACTTCAGAGATCACGATGGGACAACATCAAAGGGCAAGCACAAATTACTCCTTTTCCCTCAAGTACCTTTCGATAAAAGGAGTGAGGGACTCCTGATGGAGTATATGGCCCGGGAACCCCCGGCCCACGGACTCCTACTACTCCAGCAAAGGCCCAACAGGCCCAGAAGGCCCAACAGGCCCAGATCACAGCGCCCAGAGTACCAAGCAGCCCGCACTACGCGCCAGGGGTGCCTTCGACCCCCTGGCCGAAGGCTCTAAACTCTCACAGGACGGGCTTCGCAAGCAAATTAAGAAACTGGGAGAAAACGGCGAAAACAGTAGCCCTCGACACTGTGAGCCCTCGGCACCAGAGTGCCATCGGTTGGAGGAGCCCTCGGCTACTGCTCTATAGCCGAAGGCATCTCACTCGACAAGATATCCGCCTCACATGCGTGTAGATCACCGTACTCTGTACAGACGTCCCATCCAACAGCCGCATTAAATGCGGCCACATGCAGCTGCCAGCGCCAACCAGTTGAGGTGACCCCTCGGCCAATGAGCGCTTGACACGTGTCCCTGTCCGGCATTTATTGCTACTATAAATAGCACCCCATTCCATTTGTAACCACGCTGAAAACGGCATTCATACTAAATATACTCTCTCTCTACATTTACTTACTTACTCTGACTTCTCTCTAAGTTATTCCCCGTAATAACCCTTCGGATATATACCCCCGGGTAGACTATCCATCACTCACATATATCCCAACAATCACAATAATAAAGGCATAGAAGAGTAGACAAGAGCAATAATAGTGTATTGAATACAAGAAGGATGAACGATAAGTTACAATACAAAGATTCAATACTCAACTAGGAAACGGTGGCTCTCTGTCTTCCGTATTGGATTACAGAAGTTGCCTCCAAATATATAACATCTGAAGGTTACGCCTGTGGATTACAAAAGACTTCTGGGCCCAAATACACAGTTGGCCTGATTACATAACTAAATCTAAAAATACAGGAATACAAAGAAACAATGTAATTGAGAACAATAAAGTGTATGAAAAATTGACACCAATAATCCCACCTTTCACCGGTCTTCACGGAACAATCTCAACTTTGCACCTCACATTCTTTCGTTGGTCCCTAACCGGTTGATGACTTCCTACAATGTTTTTTTTGTTCTTTGTAAATATTACATAAATAATCCCTAGACACTTTTTATTCCTTTTTTAGTCTTTTATTTTTATTTATTTTTTATGTTTATGTATTCTATTTCACCCTCTATTAGGAGATCTTTTTTTTTGTAAAATTACCTTCCTGGACAAATATTTTTGCCATTTTTCTTCTTCTTCCCATATTTTTATTTGTTTTCCCTTTTTATGTATTTTTCTTCTGAATCATTCTCTGTTTATAAAAGATCTTTTTTCATTTTACTTTTGTAATATTTTCATTTAAGTTTCACTTTTCTCCTGTTTTTCTTCTTATTACTTTTTCCGTTTTTTTCCTCTTTCATCTTTTCTTTCTTCTTGTTATCTTAATTCTAAAATCAATATATTCTTTCTCCTTTCTGCATCATTGTATTTTTCTAAGTAAATTCACTCATTAATTCCATCAATTACGAGGTTGGAAAAAATAGAGAAAAAAATAAAAATATAAAGAAAAATAAAACAATCAAGTTAAAGTAAGAAAGAAAAAGGGTAAGAAGTCAAATAAGCCATTCTACTATTTTCAATTCATCACTTACATTATGTACTAAAAAAGTATCATATAAGTATGGATCAATTTGACCATTTATTCTGTTATTGACCTATAATACCAGGTTTTTATATTTAAAAAACTCTAAAAAAATGTTAAAGTTTGAAGAAATGTAGATGAAAATTGTGATTTTTTTAAAATCGAAGCCGAAATTTTTTGATATTTTGAAATCATTTGTATATTCTACATCTATTTAAAAGGCTTTTACATTTATATTTTAGATTTTCACATTTTCACTTTATTTTTTCAGTTTTCTGATTTTTTTTATTTTAATGTTTTAAAATTATTTATCTATTTTGACATTTGTGTTGTTTTTTTTATATTATCATAAAATTAGGTTTCAAATTTATACGAATTTATATAAGATTTATTAATAGTCTTAATTTATTTCCTTAAAAATAACCTGTTATAACAAGTCAAAATGACTTGATTGATTGTAATTAAAAAGTAAGTCTACTTGTATGTGTGTTTTTAGTAGAAGGGTTTAAGTGATGGATTGAAAATAGTAGAAGAGTCTATTTAATCCTTTTCCCAAGAAAAATGGCATACACTCTTTACACATAAATGGATAGAGGGACATAATTTGCTAAAAAGTGGAAAAATTAAGAAGAAATGTAGAACAACAAGTCATTATCATGTCTTAAACTAACGGAAAAGGATGAGGTGAAAATCAACAAAGAAATGAAGCAGGTTAAACATGGGGTTGAGTTGTATTCATGGCTGACTGGGTTTTGCCACTAGAAATGAAACAGGAAAGAACATCTTGGATTTTGCCTCAATGTATGCGTTTGTTATAATAATGACCATTTGGTTCAATAAAAGAGACTCTCACCTTAGACCTATAAAAGTGGAGCTAATAATATCCAAAATGATTACTTCATAGTACGGACTACTTGGAGAACTAACTACACAATTTGTAAGGTTATATCCCAACAGAGAGAATTGTCACTCAACATCGGATGTTTGTGCTCAATTTTCAAGGTAAGAAGCATAAAAGGCGGATTAAGTTACAAGTGGAGCCAAAGATAAAGAAGTGGGGGCTCGAGGGTATCTCCAACAAAGCTTTTCACACAAAATGTTTGGTGAAAATGTATAGTATATTGATAATTACGCGCATGTGGAGGATGTGTGATTATTATGGGTTTGACCATTAACAAAGTAGCAATGGAGATACTTGGAGAATCTAAAGGATGTTTGTCAACAAAAAAAGAACATATCTTAGTGGAATGAGGAAGTGAAACAAGCCATAAGGAACAAAAGGGATTGACACAAAAAGTTACGAAAAAGTTGGAGCGATGAGATCATAGAGAATTCAAGGAGGCTAAAAGTCAAGCAAAGAAGGCCGTAACGGAAGAATGAGGGAAAGTGAACAAGGAATTGTATGTAAAGTTGGACTCTAAGTAACGAGAAAAAGATATTTATATACTTGCTCCTCTTCGTAATCATAGGATTCAAAATATCGAAAAAGTTAAGTGTGTGAAGGATGTTGATCAAAGGATACTAATAAAGGACGGGAAAATAAAAGAGAAGTGGAGGTCATACTTTGATAACCTATTCAACGAGAATAAAACACAAGATATTGGTGATCTGGCTATACCAGATTGTATGGTAAACCGAGATTTTGTGAAAAGGATCCAAAGGACAGAGGTTAAAGAGGCTCTGAGAAAGATGGAGTGGAAGAAAGCAGTGGTTAACATATTTCTTCAACAAGATTTGGAGAAACAACCAAATCCCAGGGAGTTGGGAGAAGAATACTCATATTCCCTTAGTTAAGAATAAGGGTGATGTACCAAAATGTGTCAACTATCAATGGATTAACCTTATGAGTGACATCGTAAAAATTTGGAAGTGAGCGATTGGGCAAAAGGTCCAAAGAAGTGTAAAGATTTCGAAGAATCAATTCGATTTTATGCCTGATCGCTCAACAACTCAGGCCATTCACCCTTTTAGGTGACTTGTGGAGAAGTATAGGAAAACTAAAAAGCATCTGCATTTGGTGTTCATTGGCTTAGAAAATGCATAAGATAGGTGTAAAAACTAAAAAGCATCTGCACCCTGAGGCTTGAGAAGTTTTGTGGTGGACTTTAACTAAAAAAAGCATATCACCGTATTACGTAGGTATACTAGCATCATCATCGATATGTATGAGGATTGTATCATAAGTGTCTGTACTAGTGTAAGAAGGACTACAGAGTTCTCTATAACTATTGATGTGCAACAAAGATCGGCTCAGTGTCCTTTCTTATCTACTATAGTCATGGATGAACATACAAAATCAATTCAAAACGATATACCATGGTGCATAATCTTTGCCGACGAACATTGAAGACAATTAAGCCATGGTATCCCATAGAATTACAACTGAGTGGATGAAATAGATGTGTGTTAAAATTTCTATGTCATCAAGGTATGCCGACTTGAATGGTAAATTTTATCGGACATCAAATAAGACTGCATTACTCTATGGCGTAGAGCGTTGGACGGTGAATGCTACGTTGAATGTGCGAACATACTACAAAAAACTGCTTGAGGAATGAGACAATAGACAAAAGGTGGGAGTAACACCTCTTAAAGATAAGATCAGGGATTCTCGATTGCGGTGATTGGGTCATCTGCGTAGAAGATCGAGTGATGTACCTGTTAAACGAGTTAAGAGGTGTAAAGAAGATGTGAGGAAGAGAGGGAGAGGAAGACCCAAACATACATGGATTAGAGTCAGGAGTGATATGACTTTGTAGAGAGCAACGTGGAGAGAGGGTATTCACGTTGCAGATTGATCTCCTATTATCTTTTTTTCCCTTTAACTTCTTTTTCTTCCTTATTTTTTTATCCTTTTTTCTATTCTGTTATATGTATCGTGTGTGTGTGTGTATAGAATCTTTGATGTCGAGTTGGCCTGACGGGAACTGTCGTCGGGCTGAGGGCATTTCGAGCCCTTCCCAGTGGAATTTTTTGATGATTTTTAAGCATGTTCTTCATCAAGTCTAGTTTATCATACCAATTTTTCAGCTAAAAATTCAATCAGGAACGCAATCAAATGATTTTTTGAAAAATACTGCACTATTTATATAAATATTAACAACATATTGTTCTTAAATAATTTATTTGAAAAATATTGCGTTGTTAAATAATTTATATATATGTATGTATATATTTCCAAGTAAAACCCAACTTTTATTAGATTTATTAAAAAAGTACAAAATGCTAAAGAAGGAAGAAAACAAGAGGAAAAACAAGCAAGAGAAAGAAAACGCTAATACAACAACAACAACATCCAGAGAAGACGGACAAGAAAGGGAAGAAAAAAAGTAAGATAAAACGAATAGAATAAGGATAAATAAATATAAGATAACAATAACACAAGAATATAAGAAAGTTAAAAGAAAAATAAATAAAAGAGCATAAAAAAGCTAGAAGATAAAAATAACATAAGAATATAAAAAGATAAAGAAGATAAACGATAAAAGAAAAAAGAGAGGAAAGGTAGAAAAGACATCAATCGTCCACACAGATGTGCGCCCTTCACTTTGCTATCTCCAAAGCCATATTCTCATCCAACCCAAGAAGACGTATATCAGTTCTGATTCCTTTAATCCAAGTCTGTTTGGGTCCTCCCATCCCTATCTTCTCTGCCTCTTCTCCCCACCCCTCAAGTCGTCTAACAGGTGCATAACTCGGTCTTCTACGCACATGCCCAAACCACCGCAAACTAGACTCCTGCATCTTATCTTCTATAGGTGTTACTCCCACCTTTTGTCTGATTATCTCATTCCTCAAGCGGTCTTTTCTAGTATGTCCACACATCCAACGCAGCATACACATCTCTGCCACACTCATCTTTTGAATGTGGCATTGCTTCATCGTCCAACACTCTACGCCATACATTAATGCAGGCCTAATTGCTGTTCGATAAAATTTACTTTTCGGTCTAGTTGGCATACCTCGATCGCATAGAAATCCTGAAGCACTTTTCCATTTCATCCACTCAGCTCTGATTCTATGGCATACATCTCCATCTAATTCACCATCCTTCTAAATTATGGAGCCCAAGTAACATAACATATCACACACCGGTATCTCTTTACCGGTGTTGCTACTACTTCTACCTCCACCAAACTTGCACTCCATATACTCAGTCTTGCTTTGACTCAATCTGAAACCATTGGTCTGCAATGTTTGTCGCCATACTTTTAACTTTGCTTTAACACCAGATTGTGTCTCATCAATCAATACAATATCATCGACAAACATCATGCATCACGGTATATCTTCTTGAATTGACTTCGTAAGTTCATACAAGAATGTGCTAACTATCGAGGGATTAAGGTTACGAGTCACACCATGAAACTTTGGGAGCGAGTGGTTGAGCAAAGACTTCGTAAAAGTGTGAAAACTTCGAAGAATCAATTTGGTTTTATGCCTTGCTCCCAAAGAAAACGCTAATGAGAGAAATAAATTAAAAAAATTCTTGTGCTCATCCCATCATCTCAAAGTCCAAAATGACCTGAGCATTCATAGGCAGCTTCACAAAAAAGCCTGTTTTTGTTCCATTTTGCTTGAATGCGAGCTCCTTCGAGGCATTGCCTCAAAACCAGTAAAATGATTGGTTCAAGACTTCAAGTAGGCGATCTAATAGCTCCTGATCTGTGGGCAACACGTATTCAATTTTATAACCCTCCACACAAGAGCCCGACTAAATAGACTAGAATGCTCATCTGGAAAAGAAACCTGAAGAGGTGATTCTTCAATAATCCCCTTCTCACCACCAGTTTTAACACACATTAACAATCCCCCGTGACACCCCTCATTTTGCTGGTATAAATCCTTATTGATGCTCTCAGATTCAAGAATAGAAATATAACCAATTCTGGACAAATCTTCGTGGAAGAGTAAAATGGAGATTAATTCCATGCTCTCTGAAGCAAAATCCTTGGTTTCAGAGTTAACACAAAAAATCCCAAAGTCATCTTTAGCTACCTCTAGTTCCCCCGTTCTTTCACCCTCTTAGAAGATCATGCAAATTAAGTATAGTTGAAAAAAAAAATGAAAACTAGATCCATTTCTATCCTCAAAAATAAGAATAGTAGAACTACCCTTGTTGTCATCTGCCACTAAACGAATGAAACCTCCAAACTCATTTTCTTCGAAGAGAAACACAATTTCGAAAAGTTCCATACCTAGTGATTGACCATGGTTGGCCGAATTGAATGTGAGAGAAAGCATTGCACAACCAGTCAACCCCATCCTGATAAAAAGACACCGAGCAATTATATTATATCTGATTTGATTGATTTGAAGCAAAGAGGTTATTATATTACAGCAGAAAATCTTACTTTTTACTCTAAGACGTTGAAAGTGCCCCAAATGGGAATTCAGTGTCCATGTGCCCTCTCGATTACCCCGTCTGAATGTGGAAGAACTCTTTCGGTTACCTATGAAAGAACCAAGCCAAACAGAATGTTGTGGGTTTAGGGCTTTAATAAAACATCAACAAGTACCTCTACACATGTATGCCATTTAAAAAAAGCCCTCTATGGTCTCAAGCAATTCCCTCGTGCTTGATTTGACCGCTTCACACAGGTTGTTCTTGCTGCTGGGTATAGTCAAAGCCAAGGGGATCATACTCTTTTTTACAAACACTCTCACCCAAATGGAGTCACTATTCTTTTAGCATATGTGGATGACATCATTGTGACGGGTAATGATCCAGTTGAGAAACAATGTCTTGAGGGACAGCTGAAATCCAAATTCAAGATGAAGTCTCTTGGCCCTCTAAAATACTTTCTTGGAATTGAAGTCGCTCGCTCATCTGAAGGCATCTTTATCAGCCAACAAAAGTACATTACAGATTTGTTAAAACTTAAATGAGACTGATAAGAGTGCTTGTCGACCGGTTAATGCACCTATGGATCCTAATCATAAGCTTGGACTTGCTACTGATGAACCCAAGGTTGATTCATCAATGTATCAGCGCTTGTGTGGCAAACTTATCTATCTCTCTCATACTAGACCTGACATTGCCTATACAGTTAGTGTTTTGAGTCAGTTCATGCATGATCCAAGGAAACCATCTAGAAGCAGCCTATAGGGTTCTTCACTACCTAAAAGGAAGTCCAGGGCAAGGGATAATATTTAGGAAGGGTGAGCAATTATCAGTCCAAGTCTTCACTGTTGCAGATTATGGTGGCTCCCTCGTTGACCGCCGGTCAACTACTGGTCTCTGTGTTTTCCTAGCAGGAAACCTCGTGACATGGAGAAGCAAAAAACAGAATGTTGTGGCACGATCATATGATGAATCTGAGCTAAGAGCTCTTGTCCATGGCTTACGTGAACTTTTATGGATCAGAATTATTCTCTTAGATTTACAAATCAAGTGGAAAGGACCAATGGAATTGAGGTGTGATAACAAATCAACAATCAACATAGCTCATAATCCATTCCAACATGATCGGACCAAGCATATTGAGATTGATAGGCATTTTATCAAAGAAAAGGTTGAAGGAGGTCTGATCGAACTAAGCTACACTCCCTCAGAAGATCAAGTTGCAGATGTGTTTACCAAACCTCTGCACAGTCCTAGGTTTCAGGGTCTTATTGTCAAGCTAGGCATGACGGATATCTACAAACCTAGCTTGAGGGGGAGTGTTGATAAAACGAAGAGACATCATTAATATAGGATTTATTTTCCTTATTATTACTGTAATTATGTGTCTTTAGTGCTTCAGGTTGTATTTAATAGCTGTTGTCTTTTCAGTTCTCAATCATTTATGTTTAGTATTTAGACAGTCACCTAGGGTACTGAATAGACTCTCTCAGGATTCAGCGAAACGACATTTAGCGTCATCTACAACCATGTTAAGACTTGCATACATCCGACCCCCTCTTACCCCACCAAAGGTGGGATCTTTTATGACACTTGGGTAATGATGATGATGAATATATTCGTTTTATCCTTTTATCTTATCATTTTTATGTACATCTTATTTCTATTTTATATTATCTTTTTTATCATATCTTGTTTGTTTTGTTTTTCTTATCTTTTTTCCCTTTTGGCTCTGATATCATATATTGATTCATGTTAGCCCACCCCAACAACTTTTGAGACTAAAGATGTTTTTAGTTGGATTGTGTTCGGTTTTAGACCAGACCAGACCAGCCTTAATCAAAGACAAAACCAGATCAGACCAGTCTTAAACTGACCGGACCAAAATCTGACTTGGATAGTTATAAAATACACAGAGACCAGACATCTATCAAACTAGTTCAGACCAGACCAGACCAGAAAATTTCAGTCCAATTAAAAACATCATAAGGCTTGGGTGGTGTTGTACAATTTATGTAACAATTTTTTGAAAGTTAGCCGTCTAACTTGATGTTTATGTACATTTCTGTATGCATGTCAGTCTATAGATGTATACATAATAAGATCAAATAAAAATCTGATTTCATGAAAGAAATGAGAAATGAATCTGGTTAGTTGGATTTTAGATTTAAAAGTTCAAAACATACAACAATGCATAAATTTGATCAAAAGCGCATTCGCATTTTTGTAAACAAACCAAACTTTCTCCTACCACAAACAATGCATTACTTGGAACATAAATGTACACAGCGATGTACCAAAACTGCACTGTTTTGTGTAATTCTCATTTCTCATGAGAAGCATCATTTTAATGGAACTATACATATCAACATATGTATTTGTGTGTGTGTTCTGACTACCCAAACCACATCAAACAGACTTAAATATGATTTTCCTAAGTATTTTAAAGATCTTTTCATCGTATTTTAAACAAAAACTATATTGATCAAGAAATGACAAAACAAAGGAAAACTCAAGAGACTTAAATTTGGGATATCCCATTTTGTGTAAAGAGTGACTCAGTCTCCAATCATTTCTAAATTTGTTACTACGGGTACTTTTAATCTTTTGGCACTTCAATTTTTAAAATAGCGCTCAGCATGTTGTTCTGTTAGTGATTTGTCAGTAATTAAAAAATGAGGTACCCAAGAACTATCCCAAACTTTTTCAAGAGTTAGTACAAAATGGGACATGCGCTATTTGTTTTTGGTATGATCTGGTTCCTTGAATTAAAAAAGACTGAGTTGTTTGGGATAGAACAAAATATTTTTAATAATCATCTAGTTCCCTCCGCTGTTTAGCCCTAAATAACATGCCTTACTACATGGCATTGAAGGCTGCACAATTGGACATATATTTTCATAAATAATACTCGGCAAGTGTAAATACATATGCATAGATTTTTGGAGTACATGTCCACGCCTCCCTAGGTCCGGTGATATGTGCTTTGATACCAACAATGATTCCATCCTTATAATGCATTATTAATACGAACTACTCAGGACTTAGATTTATATTTTCATAATGTTTCCTTAGTTGAATGACTAACATATATGCCAATACAAGATGCAAAGTACCTGAACATCGTAAAATTTGATGTAGAAACGAGAGGCATCGATGTAAAGTTTTTTTTGCAGAATTTCAGCAATGGTGGAGCTGAGTTTTCCATTAACGCTAGGCCCAAGTCCTCCTATAGACATCAATTCACCGTAGGCAGCAGGTGCTTCGGTGCCTGAAAATGCGATGGGCACACTTCCGTTCAGCAAGATCACCACATACTGCAAAAAATCGTATTCCGCTGAGGGGAAATTGATCGAATACTTGGCAGACAATCCACAATGCACTAACAAATACAGTCAACAGAAATGGAGCTTACGGACTCGGGTTTCCCCATGATTCTTCCAACCGCTTTAGTAGCGTCTTTGAGAATGTCAGAAGCTACAACGGCGTCGACCGGGACGTTGGTGAAGAGACTCAGACTCGGCATCTTGGCCGGCGTGTTACAAGTTTCGAGTGCGATGGGATCTGGGGGCAACAATTACAATAACTTTGCACTAACGGTCCAAAAGAAAAAAGATGTTTATAGAAGTCAAATAATTTGGGCTCGATTCGCGATTCGAATTTGTATAAGACGATTCGAATTCGAAAAATTCAAATACAAATAAGAATATTAAATTTGATTCGAGTTGTTATTAAATTCAAATAAGAATATCAATCTATTCGATTCGAATATTAATCAAATATATTCGATTAATAATAATGGTAATATTAATGTCAATATTAATAATAATAGTAATAACACTATAATAACTTTTAAAAGATAGCAATACCCTCAAAGTGTAGCTGATGGATCGCCAAACCGGAGATAGCCGGAATCCAAGTAAATAAGAGAGAAGAGCTGATAGGAAAATTCAGGCGTATATTTCAGAAGAGTAACGGTAAGGGAATACAAAATATGATCCCATTCCACAAGTTGAAAGGTGGTATTTATACTAAAAGGCAATACTTGGTGTCAAAGTAAAAAGATGTTGAACTAATAGGGAGAGGACACATGTCCAATTTATCCTAACAAACTAAAAGTCTAAGTCGATGGGAAACAAGTCAAACAACCACGTGTAAAGGTGATTGAAGAGATAATCTGGAACAGCTGGCTGATTGGAACTGCCTCTAACAAACTACTACCTGATTGCCCGTGTGATTACGCGTGTGTAATCCGAAATATTACCCACTACTAGAAGTGATGTGGCAGCGTCTTTTTGTGATGTTTGTCTTTGCGTATTTGTCTAAGTTCATAGTGCCTTGATCAGACCCTGAGGTCAGTATTCGGAGGCTCGGGCTCATCGCTGTGGAATTCCCCTTTTGTCTTTGGTTCCGTCTTCGAGATCGTTGACTGCGTTGTGTTGCCCCTGATTGACTCTGTGTTGACGCCCAAGGTCAGAGTCGGTGCCGAGCTCAGTGCAATTGAGGTCGGGCTCATAACTTGTCGAGTTTGGGTAATTCCCGAGCTTGGTATTTTCCCGACCTCGGGGGGCCGAGGTCGAGGTCAGCTGATCCTTTGGTCCTTAGTCAATTTGCTGTCAGGCGCTTGTTCCCGACCTTAGTGGGTCGAGGTCAGTCCCAGTTGTGGACTTGGTATTTTTACGTGCTTCAGACTCGATCCATGGCGCTTATGCCGACGATTATGATACCCTTGGGGTATATGGGAATATACTCCATCAGTAGCCCATATATACACTTTTGTATACAGATTCCAAGCTTATTTGTAATAAATCAGAATATAAATACGAATACAAATCAATTTTTTTGTTCAAATGTCTTTCAAATACAATACAAATAATTATGTATTCGATTTGAAGAATAAAATTAGAGTTGTTTGACTGTGATATATACAATTATCAACTTATTTCACACATTATAAGTATAACTAGAATTAAAGAGAAATAAACTGCATTTGCTTTTCTTGACATTACTATGGTCTAATATCATAGATCACTTTGAAGAGATATTTTTTTATAGGAAAAGATGGCCTAAAAATGCTACCAGCCAAATGTAAACAAAGCTCCCTAAGAAACACATCAGTTACAAAATTATCCCTCTTTTGTCAAGCCTCTCACCAAAGTTGCTGAATATGCTCTTCTCCCTTTCCTGCTGCACTTTCCATCACCAAAGCCCGCAACCAAAGCTGTGCAGCTTAACACTAAACGATGACATTATAGTGTTCCATATTTCTATCCATAAGATTTTTTGCCAAAATGAAAAATGTTTTATACACAAAAAACATTGAAATCTAAATCATCAAAAGTTGTGTAATAAGAGGTATGCTAGAAAGATGGACAGAAACAAATAGTCAAAAAGAAAAAATGTAAAAATAACATCACCTTTGCACAAACAAATCTGCAGTTTTTTATGCCAAATATATTTGGATCCTTTTTAGTATCCAAAACTGCATATACCATTTCGATCCCAACAACTAAATTAACATAAAACTTGCAATGCTAATTAGTTTTTGGAGCTTTTTACTAATACATCTGAGATTAGTATTGCCATGAAATATGAAGGTAGGCAATTTTTTAGGTTTGTTATTCATAACAGGAAAAATAAATGAAAAAATATAAAACAGAAGCATGGAAGTGATGTGTGATTCTCTAAGATTAGAGTGAAAATTTAAAGCGGAAAGTATATAAAAATAAAAGGCAATGCCAATGGAATCAAAGACTAAACAAAACATTAAAATATTACCTTAGTTGAGTGCTTTAGTCATCTTTAGAGCAGCTACTCTGATCGTGTCTAATGCTGCTGAAAATATAAGTCCAACTGGAATTGTGCATGTAACAATTGTAGCAAAGTATCTATCAAATCATGAATCTCATCCGTCCTAAAAACTGTGATGATTAAAAATAAAGCAATCTTTTTTGCTGACTACCTGCAAGGCTGCAATTTGATCTTAGCAAATGAAAGTGTGACATGATGCGCATATCACACATGTTTTAATATGGATAATATTAGATATTAAATTGAAGTGAATCCACAAAGCATAATGTATTGACTTTAGGCCATCATAAAAAGGAGGCCATCTATTGATGCTATCAGCTGCTTGATTTACTTCCCTTGGAAAATAGTAATAGGACCAGGAGAACAGATATGTACTGTTCATCCAATGAAGAAAAATTAGCTGCCAACCACCGGTTAATACAGCAATGCGTAAAAAAGGAATGTGGACAACTAAATTCTAAAAGTGTATCCATATTCTCTGGGAAAATGGGCATGAGTGCAAAAGATGAATCAACATGGGTTCTACATTATTACACAAGATGCAAATAGAGGGCAGATCTAATTATGGGAAGCTGGGAGCACTTGTCCAGTAAATGTAGGAGAAAATAAAACCAGGAGTATAAATGTTTATGTAGTTCTTGACATTTGACAAAATAGGGGTGAGATTTAGGCAATGAATGGAAGCAAGAAATGAAAAACAACAGAGAAAAGAACACCAAGAAATGAAGAGGCAGATAAGAGAACATACACTTATAAAAAGCAGAATTGAAGAAAACATATTACCTATAAAGTTTCCTGAAGGGTGCAAAATTGATATCCATCTGCTTGAAAAGAAAAAGTAATTCCAGTTTAAATTTATTTCATAGAGACAACAAAGATTTAGATTTAAATAGCAATTAGCACAGGATATATATTTTAAATAGAAGTAGATATCCCTATTCAAAGACATAACAAAAACTCAACATTTTCAATAACATATTTCGTACTATTTAATTTTTTAACAAATGAGTAAGAATGGTGAGACATATCTTATATCTGGTGCTTCACTTTCCAATTTTATGTGGTTAGAGAACAATATGCATGTACTATATTCTAAAGCCTTAAAAATTAGACATCATATATAGTAAGATATTATTAGTTTAGTTGAGGAATTATAACAAACACCTTGCTATCAAAATATTGACCACAATTAATTCTCAAATTTCCAAATAAAATATGCATAAGTGGAACATATTATTTTATTTACACGACTGAATAAAGATTAGGAGACCAGTGTTGGATGTAATGTGTCTATTTCAAGAAAACCCCAAGAAATTGTTGCTGAGAATATTTAAAAGGTAGATACTACCTATAATAATAAATATGGGTTTAGCTGCATACGTCTACATAGAATGTAACTTCTCAATTCAATTAAAAGGGATATTAATCTAGGATTAGTAAAAAATGAGAGAGCAAGAAGAGATTGAAATGAAGTAGATATTTCATTTAAGATATTTAAGGTTATACCTCTTACTGAAATCCATATATGCTATAAACTTGATTTAAGAGAGGTTAAGTTAATTTTATTATTTTAAACAGAACATAATGATTTTCTTCATGTATTTTCATATGCTTTCCAGTTCTAATTTCTTTATAATACCTGAATGAATGTAAAAGCTGGTGCGATATGAATCTGCTAAGCCAAGCAGGATACTGACTTAAAGTAAAAAGTACAAAAAAATCAAATGGCTTGATTAAAAAATACGAGTACTATTTCTAATCAACTAAATCAAAGATAGTAAACTAACAGTGAAATCCATGCTAAAAACGAATCTGCAAACTTACCGAGTTCATGTGAAATTGACAGTTTCTCCTTTTGATTCACGAAGTTGGACGATTTTCTCTGAATAAATTGAATAGATTTAGGTATTGCCCTGGAGTTTGAAGAAGGAGAGGCAAGGGCGAAGAGGAAAGAAGAGAAGAAAGACACGAGCAAGGCTCAAACGGATGGGGTCAGCGAAACTGATTGGAAGAAATGAGAAGATGATGGAGATTAGTGTGGATGGAGAAAGAGATACGAATTCGAAAGAAAATCGACTGTCTAGGTGGCGTCGGCGGATGTTGTGGCGGTGATGTTCCATTCTGGCAACCGCCTGCTTCTCGGACTTACCGACCCCAAGCTAATTCCCATCTTCTTCTCCTGAGCTCCTTGCTGCCTTCTTCTTCTTGAACTCCTTGCTGCGACAAAAGATAGAAAGAAAGAGATCCGTGGAAAGAGAATTAGGGAAGGTGAAAGAGACGGTGATATTTTTAGGGGTTTGCTTCGCGCGCCTTTGTAATTGCTATGCGCATCCTTGCTTAATTTGTTATACAGTAGAATGCATCCACATGAAATACGAACACGGGAGTATTATACTAACACGGAAGTCTAATAGGAAAATCAGAATACTTTGTATACGATTATGAAATAAGGAGTATATTTTTTACCTCAGCTCGTTTCATACTATGTATCTATTTTGTGCAAGAATTATTTTATTTATATAAGTATAAATATTAAACAAAAAATTACACATTGAATCAAATAATTATAAAAAATGAATATCCTAGTCCAATATATTACGTAAGATAATAAAAAAAATGATTACTCTATGGATGGATTTTTTTGTTTCAAATCGTATAATAAAAAAAGATAATCACACATAGCCAATAATAATCCGTATTTTGAAAATAGTTTTTGATAATATTAACTACTCCGTATTTGATAATATCGGCGCTCCACTTCCCTCTTGAACCACCGTCTTCAATCCTAATGATATTAATATAAACATTTTTCCTTTAAAAAACTAGAAATTCAATCATTTAAGACCTAACAGTATTATATATATTAATTTATATTATATCTTCACTTACTCATCTCTCTGTCGGACTAAGAAGTCATCCAAGTTCTCTTGGGATCCCCGTTTGATCCCCAAGAGGTGAGAGATTTTCTTCTTGGAATCCTTGGAGCTGGCGAACCAGGTCACAAAAGAATGGGCCAGCTCCCTAAAGTTCCGGATCATTCCATTAGGTAGGGAATCATACCACTTCCGGGCTGGCCCGTCGAGCATTACCGAAAACCCCCTATACTTGATGGCGTCTTCATATCCCATCATCACCATGTAAGCCACATATCAGGAAATATGGTGTTGTGGGTCTATCTTCCCCCGGTAGTCCTCTATATTGCATGGCCTGTACCCTTGCGGTAGCGGAGCATCCATGATCAGACGAGTGAATGGTTCGGGAATCCTTACCTAATGATTAGGGTTGATTCTAGCGTCCACTTCCATCCAGAGCTCATCTAGCCTCCTCCTGAGGTCGTCGTTGCCATGGCCTGCTCGTAGCCGAGGTGGGGATCAGCGATTCCCGCGAGCCTGCCGGTTGGCGTTGATCTCGTTTCTGAGATCTCCCCCACGCATGTTACCACGGTGGGATGAAATAGCCACGGATGACGCCTCCTCACTCGGCTCAGGTCGGGATGAGATCCTGTCATGCACGGAGACTCTGCTCACCGATCCGGTTCATCACTGAGGTCATTGGGGTTGGCCTCGAGCGATGGGCTTGCTGAGACCGGACCGGCGGAGAGTCCCTCCTAGACTGCTCACGTCTCTCTTCCTCCTGTCGGGGCACAAACGGAACCCGGCGAGGGGAAGGTGACCTCATGTCCGCATTAGGGATACCTTAGAAGGCGGTGGTCAGGGTCTCCACTGCCCTTTGAAACATCGCCAAACTCGCCACGGCCTGAGCCGGATCAACGTTGGGGATACGATTTCCAGTGCCTGGTGTCTGGAACTGCGGCGGTCACGTCACTGTTTGCCTGGAACCTCCAACGCCTTGGAGATAGTTTCTCAAATCCTCCTGTCCTGCCGCGTTGTCGTTATGCCTCCGGAAATCACTTCGTCGTGACCTAGAACCTTCATCCTCGATCACACACCTGATCGAAACGATTACCGCCTTGATTGCTACCCACACGGTTGTGGCTATTGGTTCCAACCATTGTTCGTCGTAGATCGGGCTCTCAATGAAAGCACCAAATGATGGAGTTTAATCCAACTACGAGAACTATATTCTATGAAAGCAGATGAAAATATGGCAGCGTAAGGCATTGTTTTATTGATTGGATTTCCGATCCCCATTCATGAGGTTTACAAGTGATCTTTATAGGCTAAGGAACTAGTGTTTCAAAAGGAGACTGATATAATAAATGCCATTAATTATACATTAGTTCAAATAGGATTCTTGTAACGTCTTCATCGTTTATGCAATGATTGTTTCTTTATTCCCACGTTCCTGCCGTTAACTCCTGCCAGCTGCCGATCTAATGATAGTGTGTCACGTCAGCCCTAGGAATATTCCAGCCTCACCAGAACTTCGCCCAGGCTCAAGGCTTGCTTCCCAGCCTGGCCTAGTTGTGGGTTCCTCTCGTGGGCTTGATTCCTAGTTAGGCCCAGTGGTTTTCTAACATTAATCCCGTTTAAGGGCTAATCCCGTTAAGGGCTTGATCCCGTTGTGGGCTTTTGGGTTGTATTTCGGCAATTGGGCCATGGTTGAATCCCATGGTACCATCATTAACGAACATTAGTTAAATAAAAACTTGTTAATCATTAGTTAAAATAGTGTTAACATATGAGAGAGAACTACATATAAGAAAAAAATTATCTACTCAATTGTTAAGAAAATTATTTTCTAATACCTAAAAGCACTACATATGAGAGCGAAAATTATTCCGCTCAATTCCCCTACACATGATAGAGAAATTTCTCCTGCTCAATTACTAGCAAGTTTTTCTTGTTATACCTTAAACCACTACATATGAGAGAGAAAATTTTTTGGCTCAATTGTTAGCCGGCTCATCTTATACTTAAAAACACTACATATAAGAGAGAAAATTATCGCAATCCATTGTTAGAAAACTTATTTTCTATAATACCTAAAAGCACTACATATGAGAGAGAAAATTATCCCGCTCAATTCTCCTGCTTAATTGTTAGCAATCTTATCTTCCAGTGCATAAAAACACTACATATGATAAGAGAAATTTCTCCCGCTCAATTATTAGCAAGTTTATCTTCTTATACATAAAATAACTACATATGAGAGAGAATTACGTGGAAAGAATTTTGTTGACAATATTGGAATGTAATAAAATAAAATATCGTAATTGCATAATCACTTCCCTATTGAGAGAATTCATGTTCAAAATAATGAGTATGTTCATTAATTTGTTATACAGTAGAATGCATCCACATGAAATACGAACACGGGAGTATTATACTAACACGGAAGTCTAATAGGAAAATCAGAATACTTTGTATACGATTATGAAATAAGGAGTATATTTTTTACCTCAGCTCGTTTCATACTATGTATCTATTTTGTGCAAGAATTATTTTATTTATATAAGTATAAATATTAAACAAAAAATTACACATTGAATCAAATAATTATAAAAAATGAATATCCTAGTCCAATATATTACGTAAGATAATAAAAAAAATGATTACTCTATGGATGGATTTTTTTGTTTCAAATCGTATAATAAAAAAAGATAATCACACATAGCCAATAATAATCCGTATTTTGAAAATAGTTTTTGATAATATTAACTACTCCGTATTTGATAATATCGGCGCTCCACTTCCCTCTTGAACCACCGTCTTCAATCCTAATGATATTAATATAAACATTTTTCCTTTAAAAAACTAGAAATTCAATCATTTAAGACCTAACAGTATTATATATATTAATTTATATTATATCTTCACTTACTCATCTCTCTGTCGGACTAAGAAGTCATCCAAGTTCTCTTGGGATCCCCGTTTGATCCCCAAGAGGTGAGAGATTTTCTTCTTGGAATCCTTGGAGCTGGCGAACCAGGTCACAAAAGAATGGGCCAGCTCCCTAAAGTTCCGGATCATTCCATTAGGTAGGGAATCATACCACTTCCGGGCTGGCCCGTCGAGCATTACCGAAAACCCCCTATACTTGATGGCGTCTTCATATCCCATCATCACCATGTAAGCCACATATCAGGAAATATGGTGTTGTGGGTCTATCTTCCCCCGGTAGTCCTCTATATTGCATGGCCTGTACCCTTGCGGTAGCGGAGCATCCATGATCAGACGAGTGAATGGTTCGGGAATCCTTACCTAATGATTAGGGTTGATTCTAGCGTCCACTTCCATCCAGAGCTCATCTAGCCTCCTCCTGAGGTCGTCGTTGCCATGGCCTGCTCGTAGCCGAGGTGGGGATCAGCGATTCCCGCGAGCCTGCCGGTTGGCGTTGATCTCGTTTCTGAGATCTCCCCCACGCACGTTACCACGGTGGGATGAAATAGCCACGGATGACGCCTCCTCACTCGGCTCAGGTCGGGATGAGATCCTGTCATGCACGGAGACTCTGCTCACCGATCCGGTTCATCACTGAGGTCATTGGGGTTGGCCTCGAGCGATGGGCTTGCTGAGACCGGACCGGCGGAGAGTCCCTCCTAGACTGCTCACGTCTCTCTTCCTCCTGCCGGGGCACAAACGGAACCCGGCGAGGGGAAGGTGACCTCATGTCCGCATTAGGGATACCTTAGAAGGCGGTGGTCAGGGTCTCCACTGCCCTTTGAAACATCGCCAAACTCGCCACGGCCTGAGCCGGATCAACGTTGGGGATACGATTTCCAGTGCCTGGTGTCTGGAACTGCGGCGGTCACGTCACTGTTTGCCTGGAACCTCCAACGCCTTGGAGATAGTTTCTCAAATCCTCCTGTCCTGCCGCGTTGTCGTTATGCCTCCGGAAATCACTTCGTCGTGACCTAGAACCTTCATCCTCGATCACACACCTGATCGAAACGATTACCGCCTTGATTGCTACCCACACGGTTGTGGCTATTGGTTCCAACCATTGTTCGTCGTAGATCGGGCTCTCAATGAAAGCACCAAATGATGGAGTTTAATCCAACTACGAGAACTATATTCTATGAAAGCAGATGAAAATATGGCAGCGTAAGGCATTGTTTTATTGATTGGATTTCCGATCCCCATTCATGAGGTTTACAAGTGATCTTTATAGGCTAAGGAACTAGTGTTTCAAAAGGAGACTGATATAATAAATGCCATTAATTATACATTAGTTCAAATAGGATTCTTGTAACGTCTTCATCGTTTATGCAATGATTGTTTCTTTATTCCCACGTTCCTGCCGTTAACTCCTGCCAGCTGCCGATCTAATGATAGTGTGTCACGTCAGCCCTAGGAATATTCCAGCCTCACCAGAACTTCGCCCAGGCTCAAGGCTTGCTTCCCAGCCTGGCCTAGTTGTGGGTTCCTCTCGTGGGCTTGATTCCTAGTTAGGCCCAGTGGTTTTCTAACATTAATCCCGTTTA